AGACGACGAAAGTAGGCTTCCAGATCACCGCAGAACTGTATCATGTTCGTGGGGATAGTGGGATAGATAGTCATTTCCCATTTTGAATGTATTTAACTGATTGTTCCTTCCTAAGTGGAGTACTTTGCATTTGTCCTTATTGAATTTCATCCTATTTACTTCAGATCATTTCTCCAGTTTGCCCAGCTCATTTTGAATTTTAATCTAATCCTCCTTGCAATCCCTCCCTGTTTGGTATCATCCACAAACTTCATAAGTGTACTCTCTATGCCATTATCTAAATTATTGACAAAGCTATTGAACAGAACCAGACCCAGGACTGATCCCTGTGGGACCCCCCTCGCTATGCCCTTGACTGTGAATCACTGATAACTACTCTCTGGGAACGGTTTTCTAGCCAGTTATGCACCCACCTTATAGTAGCTCCATCTAGGTTGCATTTCCCTAGTTTGTTTATGAGAAGGTCATGTGAGACAGTATCAAAAGTCTTGCTCAAGTCAAAACAAAGCACATTTTTCTATTAATTCCATTTTCTTTAATAGGGAACAGTAACAGTGAGTGGTTAATGTGATGCGACCAACATCATCACAAAGCCATGGCTTGCAAAGTATGTGTCACGAAATAGGCCATAAGTATTTGACACCACTTAAACTGCTTGTGATAGTAAAAATAAAAAATAAATGTTGCTGCTGCTGCTGCTAATGTGTTGTACACAGGAAAAGAATGTTACATTCCTTAGCCAAAGATCAGATGAAGGGCCAAATCCTTGTGAAATGGTGAAGCAGCCCAGATACCGAAAGGGGCCTGATGTCTGCTTTGATAACGATAATGCGGTAAGGTTGAACTCTTAAGGCATTAAGATTCTGAGATAGTGTCTTTCCATGTAAAAGCAGTTATAGGAGATGTTTCAGAACAACAATAAACCCTATGTTTTAGTGTACCTGACATCTGATTATGTAACCTATCTCTCATTAAACATACTGTTCACTCTGAACCATAGTCACTTTATTTCAAATGTTCCATGATTATCATAAAATTAACAGCTGCTTTCTTATCTGCCTTTCTTGTAAACACCGCACTTTCACACATGATTCCTGGCAGTAGTAATAAGTCAAGAAATCTAGAGCTCTGCACATGATGGTGCCAAAGACAATTCCCCCATGGCTCTGGGAAGCACTCAGATGGTTATCCTGGTTATTTCTCTAATCTATAAGCTTTGTTCATTGGTATTTCTGAATACTGAAAAGATACTTAGGGCCAGATTTTTAAAGGCAGCTAGACACCTAAATGCCTGTAAAAATCTGGACCTTATAGCATTCTATTTCAGGATGTCATGCCTCTTAGGAATGCAAATCCATTCTGCAGTGAAGAAAAAATAGAGGGATAATTCGTTAGCCTTTTCGCTTTCATTTTTAAATACTGTATGAAATAGAGAAAAGCAATCGAAAATGTTATGTCAAATCTTAACTGATAGGTTGTTGAACTGTGTGTTATCTAAAAATGCAAATCGCAGTGGTTACTCCTTATCCATAATGCTGTCTTCTCTCAGGGCCCAATCATGCAAGGTGAAGAGAGCTCTCCAGCCTTCAGTGAAGACAGTGGGTATTGAGGGTACTTGGCATTTTGAAGCATTTGACCCCAAAACTGTAGATTTACTTTTTTTTAGAACCTGCTTTTACACCAAATGAGTTAATAGCTATGAGGGGTTTGCAGAATTTGCAGAAGGCAATTTAGTAGTAAATTTTTACTTTTTTAGGAACTATTAATTGTTTCATGTTGAATACCTGTCTATATTCCTAAACCCGTCCTTCCTTTATTTAGTAGCCAGAAATCTAGAGGGCTTATTTTCAACGAAGAGGACCAGACAAATGGTTTTGTAAAAGCAATTGCCAGTGCCACTGTTTGATCCTGTTGTTACAGTGTGCTGAGTCTTGATATAGCTAAATCCAAGGAGACGTAATGTCTCAGATGTTCATGATGCTTACACAAGCCTAAGCCTTGGGGGTGAATGGATTTTCTTTCAAACCCTCTTGTGTTCACAAACAAAATATTATGTTAAAAAAAAAACTTTCTTTTTGATCAGCAAATGCAAAACAATTGGCTTCCACAGGGACTGAAAAACAGTCCTAATCGTATGAACTTTTCCAACAGATGACAATCCAGGTGCTATTGTGTGTGAAAGTACAACTCTTGCTTACTAGCTTGATGTGCTAATTGGTGTGTAAGTCATGTGTTCTCTGTAACAGTGGAATATTTTGGTTAAGTTTATTTGCTCTTGAGTGGATGCTTTCACATTAACTCTGCTAACTGCCAGCAAACTGCATGAAATCTCATCTTGTATGTCTTTTTTTTCTGTGTTTTCTTTCCTTTCCTCTACTTGCTACTTTGCCCGTTATTAATAGGATCAGCCTATATGCACAACGAGTCGTGCCTCTGCCATGATGTCCGCTCCTACCTTCATTTTTCTGCAAGTTTTCATATGGTGTGGATGGTCAGTTACTTTCTCTAATTTTTGTTTTGTTTTGTTTTTGTTCTTTGCATAAAAGAGTAACAATCTTTTTTACTAACTAAGCCCACGAAAGAAAATGAAATGAAATGGGTCCCCAAAACAGCAATCTGGAACAAATTCCTGTAGCAATTTAAGGAAAAATTAAAAATTAAAAAGCCTTGCCCAGAGCCTTGTAAATCAGAATTAATAGAACTGTGAGGATCGCCCCCATAGAGTCAGGAACCTGCCCGCTTTGTAGAGCTGCAATATTTGAGCTTCTTTCATATCGCTGTCATTACCTTCCGTGCTAGCCCTTCAAAATGTTTATTGCTTCCTATGCTCCTGGTAAAGATGAAAATGAGGAAGACATCTAGGACAAACTTTCTGCATAGAAATAAGCAGAGGTACAAAGTAGTTGGAAGAGACTACAGTTCCTGCAAATCTAAAACTATACATGGCACAGCATAACTGAATGCTGTCTTTAGGGTTTGCCAAAATCATTGCTGTGGAGAACATTAGGAGAAGTTCACAGTGTCGCCAAGTCCATACAGAGGTTGATGATCAAAATAATAACACTCATTGCTTGTTATTAGGAATAAAAAAAATTTGTTTACTTTTTTTAACCTAATATCCAGCAAAACACAGTGTCATTGGCTAGTAAAGATAGAAGAGAACTTTTGCTTCTAATAAAAATATTGATATATGTTTCAGAACACAAGATTCAGCACTATGAGTCTAGAACACTAGTGTATGGAGACATCAGGGTTCATAAAGAAAGCTCAATCTTTGTCTCCATGTTATGTTTATTAGTTTGGAAACTCTGAGCTCCCATTATTGCTAATATACCAAAGAACCGATGATCTGAGTAATATCATAAAGCATGTTCCTCGTACAGTGGAAGAGTGTCAGAATATAGATAGCAGTATTGGTATAACTTCTCAGCAGACCACTAGAGGGAGATGCTACCATGACTATTAATGTAAAGCTATGAACAATGAAAAGAACAAAGAGAATCATTATAATATGATGGGAATTAAGTTTCAATGTTAAAATACAGTAGATACATTAAATTTGTTTCTAAATGTTCTAAAAATATTTTCAGCAATGTTTTAGATAAATTTTTGAAAGGTTAAGTATATAGAGTTATGGTGATAGAGTGATATTTATAACTAGGTAAAAAAAACCTAAAACAAATCAGTTGTAAGAGTTCATCTTCTCTACTGCCTTTAGTGTTGGAAAAAGCTAAATCACTTGGACGTCAATAAAAAAAGTCATGCTTAGTTTGATAGCTGTTTTTTTCTGAGCTTCACATAACGTATTAAACCAGGGGCGGGCAAAGTTTTTGGCCTGAGGGCCTTATCGGGTTTCAGAAATTGTATGGAGGGCCAGTTAGGGGAAGCTGTGCCATCCCAACCAGCCAGGCATGGCCCGGCCCCCTCCCCCTATCTGACCCCCCTGCTTCTCGCCCCCTGATGGCCCCCCGGGACTCCTGTCCCGTCCAACCACCCCTTCTCCCTGACCTCCCCCGGAACCCCCGCCCCCATTCAACCCCCCTGTTCCCTGACCACCCCCGGAACTCCCACACTGACTACCCCCTGCTGCCCCATCCAACCCCTCCTCTCATTCCTGACTGCCCCCCTGGGACCGCTTCTCCATCCACCCCACCCCACCCCGCTCCCTGACCATCCCCAGAACCCCCCCCTGACTGCCCCCTGCCGCCCCATCCAACCCCTCCTCTTCTTCCTGGCTGCCTCCCTGTCCCCGGGACCCCTGCCCCATCCAACCACCCCTTCTCCCTGACCTCCCTCAGAACCCCCGCCCCCATTCAAGCCTCCTGTTCCCCACCCTCTGACCGCCCTCACCCCTATCCACACCCCCGGCCCCTGATCACCCCCCGAACTCCCCTACCCTCTATCCAACCCTCCTCCCCCGCTCCCTGCCCCCTTACCACGCTGCCTGGAGCACCGGTGGCTTGTGGCATGCCTCTGCAGCTGCACTGCCCCAGGAGCTCACAGCCCCGCTGCCCAGAGCATTGCACCTGGGCTAGCCTCCCGGGCCAGGAGCTCAGGGGCCGGGCAGAACGGTCCTGCTGGCTGGATGTGCCGTAGTTTGCCCACCTCTGTATTAAACAGTCTCATGACTAGTAAACATAGGAAGTTGAATAGGTGCAGTTCAAGATTGGGAGGAAGAATTATAGTTCCTCTGCAACATCAGCCCCATGTAAAACATGAAGACCAGATTCTGACATCTTTATTCACGTTGAGTAGTGCCTTCCTCTATAAGTAGCTTTATTGAAATCAATTAAGGTACTAATCATCCATAAGGTTAGCAGAATCTGCCCATAAATTAAATTGCCAATGGCCCAATCCAGTGTCGGCATTCCAAAACTCCCATGGAAGCAAAACCTTACAACACAACTTCAACAGATGGATTCTCATCAGCAGTAGATGGAAACTAGGCAAGATGCAAAGTTAATTTTTTGTTCCTCAGTCCAGCCCTTAATAATTCTGTGAATTTGGGTCAGGTTCTCATCTGGTGTAAATCTATATTTGTTCTGTTAAAGCTCTGTTAAAGTCACAGAAACCAAACTGATTTACACCAGCTGACAATCTGGTTAATGAATTATAGCTTTCTTTTTGTCTTCTTTTTGGGAGGGCACAGCAAAAGGGGTTATTCCTGTTATGTACTTGTACTTGGTTGCTTTTAAAAAATAACAATAACAAAAAAAAAAAAAGGAAAACAACATGCAAGTGTCAGAGCACTCCTGTAAGATACTGAGCTCCCTCGACTCCCACCAAAGCCAGTGGGTGCTGTGAGACTGCTTAACATGTTGCAGGATTGGACTAAATTGAATTTTTCATTTGTGAAATGGGCTACCAGTGAAATGATCAACACATCAGGCATCACAAGAAAGGTCACTAATATTGCACCAAAAAAACTTTTGATGGCTAGGGTGAGTGAGGTGACACAACTGTTTTCCAAAAAAAGGCATATAGTCTACCCAAAGCACTTCTTGATCAGGACAATCTGAAAGTAAAAAGAACAGGAGTACTTGTGGCACCTTAGAGACTAACAAATTTATTAGAGCATAAGCTTTCGTGGACTACAGCCCACTTCTTCGGATGCATATAGAGTGGAACATATATTG